GGTGGAACCAGGGATTGAACTCAGGCCCTTGTGCTTGCCAGGGTAACGCTTATTCCACTGAGCCATCTCCCCGGCCCCAAAATGGCGGAAGGACTTTTTTTTTGCCCCTTCTCCCAGGATGCATGCAAGGCAGGTCTGGTTTGGCTTGAGGATGAGGGGATCGAACCACAGCATCCTGAGCCTGACTGCTTTGTTTCAGCAGGCTCTTAAAACCTTAAGCTAATGGGCAGGCCCCCAAGGTAAGCCTTAAGATGCCAAAGAGAGGTGAAAATGTGTTAGGTTGGTTTGAGGGGCTGTACTTTGAAGAAATTGCAAATGGATTACAAATGCTGGATGAAAACAACCTCTGGTGACCATGCTTGAGGCTTCAGATGGGGCTGTCCTGAGGGCACAGAGGCAGGGTCCTTCTCACTGAGGAGGCCCAGTCACCTTTTGGGGTACAGCAGGATTACAGAGCATCTTAGATAAACATAGCGGGTAGATTTTAAATTTTCTTCTTGGACCCAGACACTCTTAGATAATCCAGCTTTCTTTGTTCTCTGCCTATTAGATCAACAGCTTTCTGGTTAGTTTATCTCCTTGTTTGTGAAGCAGGATTCGTGTCATTCAGTGAGGTTTCAGGAGACAGCTAATTCATCACTTCACGATGAAGCCTGAAGTTCTTCAGGAGTTCAGAGGGGTGTAAATGTGGAAATAGTCCAGGAAAGAGCAGTATGAACAGCTGCTTCTAACACTAGAGCTGGAGAAGGCGGCAGATCACCAGGTCAGGATCCACGCTACTGGACTGTGTTTACTCCTACTGATTGAGTGTCCACTGCAGTGACATTGGGCCAGCTTTGATTCAGTCATCAACCCACTCTCTAATGTGGCAGGTGGTCCCTAAGCCAAGGGACACAGATGGGTACATCTGATGTTGGGATGCCAGGACAGGCTGCAGGAAGAGCCAGGAAGGGTTCTCCTCCCCAAAGGGGTGTTCTGATAAGAGTCCCACGAGACAAGAGGCCAGGAGCCTGGCTCCAGTTCACCCCAAATATGTCAGTTGATTATGAAGGGGGCCTTGTGGGCAGACACTGACAGCGACTCCCTGTAGACCAGTGACCTGCAGCGGGCCAGGCACTTAGCCCTGGCACAGCCAGGAAGCAGCGTGCATAGTACACATTATGGCCTCGGGTCCTCTCAGCCTCGTTATAGCACTGGCTCCTGCATGGAGCTGCCCTCTCGTGCTGGGTGTTCACAGTGCAGCAGTTCTGTGGAGACCCCTCTGCTTCTGCCAGGGTAGACCTGTTAAACAGCGCCTCAGACAGATGTTTCACTTGACGTTAGCAGTGCCGTTTGCTATTTAAATTGGAGGAGATGCACTAGCTCATTTGGAACAAGCAAAAATTCTTTACTAGTTTGACCCTGACCCTGATACTTTTTGGTTGATTTTTTTTTTTT